AGTAGAAGTAGAAGTAGAAGTAGGGTGCATGGACGCATTGCTTGACGGGGTTCTCGGCCCGGGTTCGATGCACTATACCATGTACGTTCATGAGACGCTGATTCTTTAAAGTATGGGAGAGTTGTGCTGTCCTCGTAGATGGCCGGCCGCGGCCAAGGAGGCTACACAAGGACGGATGGAGTCGTTCGGGCTTCGAGAGAGAGAGAGAGAGATCGTAATAGTAAAATAGTTCTGACACGTGCTGCAGTCAGCGCCTGGCCGCAGTTACAGTTGGAAGCAAGTCCAGGCAGAAACCTGTCGTGCCTGAGAACGTGATACAGTCTTGCCGGGCTTTCTCACCGTCGGCAACAGAGGTAGAACCGAACAAAGGAACTTAAAAGATGAGATGGTGTATTGGTGAGTTTGCATCTCAGCATGCCGCTGGGTTCCCTGGAATTCGGCCTGCTATTGATGGATGCAGAATGGAGGAAGGATGCAGGCACAGAGGCCAGCCGATGTTGCGGTGAGTCATGCCATCCTGCAGTCCTGCAGGGGTGCCGATACCTGCTGCTGCACGTATCATGCACTCAAGTTCCGCATGGCTCTGCACGACAGCAGGCACGCCTGTACCAGATGATGAAGACGATTGCCGGCTATGATGAGTGACTTTCCGAGCAGCTGATTCGTCGTTGAGGTACTTTCTGACTAGTGTCAGAGGCTGAAGGTTTGCGTAGCTTGGCTGTTTGTCTTGTTCGAATTGACAGAATGTCAAGCAACATGCATGCACCCAGATCATGGGCTGGGACTATTCGGACTTTTGCCGCCATGCGCATATGTCCTATGTAAGCCTGTCGCTCTCCCCACCAAGTCTGCAGCCCGGAAGCCGGCGTAACGAGATTGCGAAGGCCTGGATGTCAAGCCAACCAGATGCAAATCCCCAGTACATTGCACATTTACTTTCGTGTCTATCAACGGCTCTTGTCTGGAGGCCGCAGAGCGCGAATGTGGACCATTACGACAGAATGAGATTGTAAAGAAGGTCCGGTAGTGAGTTCTGTTAGTGCTCGTCTCTGCCGAGATGGACGCACATGCGTCGTGTCCATCTCGTCTTGGCAGAGTCGGGGACGGTACATTGGAGTGACACCCCCAGTGAGTGCTGTCGTGGAGTTTCGTGGAGCAACGCAATGAGCGAGCGATGTTTCCGCTCTGTACAGTACCCGGCGCACTGCCGGGGCATCACTGCGGAGGGGACGAAGACCTTGGAACGCAGAGGTTTGGTAGGATTCTCGATAGCATTCCCCTAGTGGCCTGGGACCTTTGCGGTCAGCGGTGCGCTTCTTGGCGCAAAAAGTGATGCTTGAATGTAAAGGTGGGAGGCGAAGTCCCAGCGGTTTTGCAGACATCGACAGTGCGAACAACACCGCAGCCTGTGGGATCAGAAGCCTCCCGCTGGGAGCATCCGGGCCGATTTTTCCCTAGGATGTGCGTAGGATCTAACTTAGGATGCCTTCTGTGAGCCCAGATGCAAGCTGCCACATGCACTCTCTACATGCTGTCTTGGAAGGACTCGCACTTGATAGCTTGAGTGGAGGCACCGGAATTTGAAAATGATGCAGGGCGGATCGGTGAATCAGGGATTAAGCAACTCTAGGAGTGGATACCGGTCCGAATTTCGTTGAAGGTGTCTTTGGACTGTCAGGGTGCTTCACTAAAGGGAGCTTTTAATTTGCCAGGCAGCAAAGACGATGAAGATAAGTCAGATTTCAAGGCTGGCTGCCGCAAGCAGCAGACTGAGTGGCGTGCCCAGCGCTTGAGCGACTTCCTGCGCAGAGAAGGTTTCACTGATATCGGCACACCCAGAAAACGCAGTGGTTTCCTGTGTTCGCTGTTCCGGCAAACGCGCGTCTTTGCGATCCACGTTGCGGCAGAAGTCGGTGACGCGGAAATGGTGAGGGCCCTGCTCAGGGCCAAAGCCGATCCTTCTCAGAAGACTTCTCGAGGACACACAGCTGTCGAGCTGGCCAGGTCAGCAGACAAGTTGCTTGGAACTGATTGTGAAACGCTGTGTGTGTTTGCGCGCTTCATATCTGACTCTGCGCAGGACATCTTATGCGTGACTTTGAGGGGTTTTATCTGTGTGGATACGGTGTGGAACGCGTTCTTTCGGCTTATTGCTTGCAGTAGATCACCGAGATGCCGAGGTATGGGTCCCATCGCGAGGTCTTGGAGCTGCTGAGTGGTGATGTTCACTATGTGAACCTTCGTGAGGCAGTGGAAATTATGCAGATCTCCCTCGCCAACAGCGAGCAACAGAGCTGGAACGTATATCTGGATGGCGATCCGGGAGTTCGGCTGGAGATGCTTCCGGTCCCGGATCCCGTCTCTTGAGTCAGCATTGTGAAGATTTGTACTCCATTAGCCATAGGACCAGTGTGGGAGCTTCATGCACCTGGAGACCAGCAGCAAAATCAATGGCTCGATGCACCTGCATACTGAGTTTCTACCATGAGCCAGAAGTCTCAGCACTTTTTTGTAACATGTTTAGGTCGAGACAGACTAGCCAAACCTTGCAGTTGTTTTGGGGAATGACAATCCGTTGTTTGTTCCTATCCGGCAGCATCGCGTCTTGCGATGGAAGTTGTACTCCTTCGGGCCGAGTACACTTTCTTCGCATACGCCGTCTACGGGTGCTCTAGAGCAGCAGATCGGTGTAGGGTCTGGCGTAAGTGACAATCACACTTACAGTTTGCGTGCAATGATCTAGCCGACCTTCACCATCAATCCCATCTCCATGCATGCCCGATATTTTTAAAAGAGTGGACCGAGATTTTTTAAAGACTGGAGACGCAGGCTCTCTAGTCTCAGGTTTTCCGTGTTGCATTGATCTGTCTTGACTGCAGAGTGTTCGAAAAGTCAGAAAGTGTGGCGAGCTCTGATTAGTTTCAAGTTTTGTTCGCCTGGAAGCGCACTCTGCCCGACGACTGTTTGTAGGCTTGAGGGAAATCATCCCAACGGGGTTTTAAAAGCCAGAGCTAGCTGCTGAGGTGCAGCCTAGTGAGACGGCTCGGCAGTATGTGAGCACTGCCACAATCTGTCACTCGTCCTCCGATTCAGGGCGAAAGCAAAGTGTGTGCGTGTCTTGCCAACTTGAACGGCCATTGGCCGTTTGCTCTTTTCTTGCGGATTTCGAGAAGGCCAGGTAGAAGAGATCCCAATGACTTCTCAATGCGCAGACCTGAACATGGACCTGTGTTGATGCACGCAAGCATCCGAAAAAGATGCCGCAGTGTCCCTGCAAGAATCCCAGGTCCAAGCACCGAGCTCTTGGTTTACGATCTAGGTTGTGCTTTCGTGGCATTTCGACCCCGTGTGCTTGGCAGTCCGGGGGACCATCGGCGCAGTTGGCTGACGAATGGAATGCTTGAAAACAGTAGTGTTTGTCGTTCCTGTCTCATGCCTTCGTCGTGTTGAGTTGGAGCCTGGAGACGCTGGTTGAGCTGTCGATGAGCCTTTGTTGCAGGTTTCTGGCACAAGTGGACCGGCGCAGAGTAGAGACTACGTCCGAACAGCCATGGCTGCTACTCGCGCCCGCTCCGGGCTTCTAGGGTCTTTCTTGTGACCTGTCTGTGTTCAAGCTCCGGGAACCACTGTAGATCGGAGCTCAGGCTGAGTTACCTAGCTAAAGCAACTAAAGGCTGAAGGTTCTGCACACAGCGAAGTGCCGCGGTCTGCTCCTTCTGGGTACTGTAGTTTCGCTCTGCTGTGTTCATTGTTCAACTGTTTTGCTCTGCTCTTTGTTTGTGTCTCGGACTTTTTAAGAAGTGGTAGCTCTCGGCCTCCTTCGTTTTTCCACCTGCCAGTCCGGAGTCCGCTTTTCCTCTTTCGAGGTTGGCTGCTTGCCTGATGTCGCTGCAGGCCGTGTGAGGTCGTCTCAGATGAAGTTGTGGCTAGCGGTTCTGGTCGGGTGCGAGGCCTTCGTGTCGGCCCCCCGGGGGGCCGAGTCACCGTCTCTTCGTGGCCTGGTTACGGCCGCCGGCATCGCCGCGGCACCGGGCGTGGCCTCTGCGGCCGATGAGTACCTGAACTACAACATGACAGGCCGGCAAGCAGCCTTCTGGACTCTGCTGTCCGGAGCACGTTCCTGACAGGTGAGTTCACACCTTTCATGGTCATCGGCTACTTCGGCCTTACCACATTCCTGACTGCCTTCGCATTCGGCTCCTACCTTGTCCTGACCAAGCTGATTCTCGGAATAACTTGCCAAGCTTGCATTGCAGTCTTGGGACATGACCTCGACATGATGCTACGAGCACGACGCGTTCCTTTCACAAGCCTTTACTTGTGTCTTGTAGTAGCCCCATTCAACACCGAGGAAGATCATCTGAATGTGCTGTTCCGCAAGTCTTTGAACTTGGAAGACTTCTGGACTTTTTCCCAGCAGTTGATGCCAGAAACCGAGTTCTGCGTCGCAGAAGTTGTGACAAAAGTGTGCACTTGCCAGGCACATGGTCTGAATCAGTGATTTCCGTGCGTGTTTTTGTGTGTGTGTGCGTGCATGCACGCGCGCCTCTCGACAGGAAGCTGCAAACAAAGCTTGCTGACTTGACTTTGGCTGTTTTGTCCTGCAATTCTCTATAGATTCGACAACGTCTTTTTCAGAAGAAGTGAAGTTTTCCCATTCTTTTGCAAGATCTTGGATCTTGAGCCTATTCTGATGTTGGCCAGGTCCCGTGCCCCTACCGAAGGTTTCTGAACGGAAGTTGTTGTCCTTACGAGACAGCCACCCGGCCAGCTTGCAGCACTGCAGGAGCGAATTTGATTTCATTCTGTTGCGGCCAGGGAGGATCAAGAAACCCATCACGCATACAATCAGCGACGGAATGCATCGGAACTGTTGCGATGCAGAAGCAGCAACCTTCCAGAACCTGTAGAACTGCATCTAGAATTTTTACCCCCAGCTTTTGAAATCCAAACCTTAAGATCGCATGGTGTATCGGATGAAAATGCGTCAGCCTTGTCGCCGACCTTGTGTGGAATGGCTGAGTATCCCACACATCACAGAGATAGGATGTAGCACATGTGCATGCCTGGCATCCGGCTGTAGATGCGGTGAAGAGTAAGTTCAGTTGGAACAAAGCAGGGAATATGAATCTTGGAGAGCTCTGCCCCACAGAGCTCTCTGCAAGAATTCAATGTTGATCACTAGCATGTTTGCTGCATGCTAAAAGAAGAGAGCCCAAAGAACACGTCAATACTCCCCGTGCACTGGTTCGCCTCTCTGGCGTGATGCAAGCAATGACAATCTGCATGTTGGGCCAACGTTTGCATGTTAGAGCTCCTGTGTAGTTTGTATTAGTTGCATCATCACATGTGCATTGCGGCACGTGTTGAGCCAGAGTTCTGGCAGATGTACAATCCAGCTGATAGACACTGTGAACCTGGAGAGCATGTCAACCCTCTGTCTCAAAAGGTTGTCCATGTAGTTGTGCTTCCTCTTCCTCATCAAGCCGTCTTGTGTCTGCCACAACGAGATCGTTCAAGGTTCATCCTCCTTCGTCGAGGTTACAGCCAGAGATTAAATGTTGACCACCCACGCCCGAAAGGTTGTCACGCTTGACAGACCTACAGTTCTCCTCAAGCTGGTGTTGCATTGCAAACGGATCGACCCTGCAAGACGGAAAGGCCGAAAAGGTGCCCACATTCTCGCAGTTTGGCTCCAAAGCACAAAGGCGGCAAAGTAGTAGATCAGGAGCATCCGCTAGCAGTTCACCAGACAATGGCACGAACTCGCTCCAGTCTCATTGCCACGCTCCTGCAACATGGTTGCATCCTGTGAATGTGTGCAAGTGACAGGTCCCGACAGTCCAAGGAGATGTAAGCTCTTGCTTGATCAGATGAACTTAGGTTGATGGCTGTGACCATGGTTGCACTGCAGGTTCTATCGTGTCGTGTTGACTTGACGTTGATACGGACATGCCACGATCCCTGTGTGAATTTTCCTGAATAGCTGCTAGGCCTTCGTGCCGGCTCCCCACGCCGAGTCCCCATCTCTTCGTGGCCTGGCTTCGGCCGCCGGCATCGCCGCCGCGCCGGGCGTGGCCTCCGCGGCTGACGAGTACTTGAACTACAACATGACGGGCACCTTGCACTTCTCGTTATACTCTTCTGTCTCCCCCACACCCTCAGCCGATGCAGTTTCTTCAGAGATATCATTGAGGAACCCGTGGTTGAACCCCTGAGCTCAACAATCTTCCCACTCGTAGGATAGCTGCATGGTGACAGGAGACTGTGGCAGGCGTGATTGTCGCTTTTGCGTGCCGGTTGATGATGGGTTCATGCAAGGTGAGTTCACTCCCTTCATGGTCATCGGATACTTTGGCCTGACGACTTTCCTCACCGCCTTTGCCTTCGGCTCCTATTTGGTCTTGACCAAGCTGAAGATCATCTGAGTGATCTGAGTCTACAGTTAGAGCCGTTTCCCCCAAAAAAACGAGTAGCTGAAACCTACGTTCTGTACTACCTGAGCGAATCTTCTGAAGCACCAAAGACATAACATGCTGTTGATCATGACAATCTCTCAAGAAAAGCTGCCCAATCAGAATGGGCAGATCTTTTTCCAGTTAGACAAGCAGTCGGGAGCGCTGGAACGGCCACCAGCCAACAGAGGAATCCGGCAAGGTCGCGTCACTGCGAAAAGCTGGGCCGGCACTTCACGGCCAGTGACCACTAGATCTTGCTGCATTCTGAGACTGCACTTTCACTATGTGCCTCAATTTAGCTGGCCGTAGAGCTCAAAGGAAGGATCCTGAAGGCTTACCCAAGAACAGCTCGCCCAGCCATGGCCGCAACAAGATCACGCACCAGCCTTCTGGCATCGCTTCTGTCTCTCAGATGCAGTTGCGGCCTCGTAGCACGAGCCTTTGTCTGCTTCCAAGGCTAGGCTTTGTCATGCATAGGACCGGATGCTTAGACAAGTTTCTGCTCACTTTCTTCGTTCCAATATTACAGAACTGAATCGGGCGACCCTGAGAAGCACAAACCTAAGGCTGTCTGCGGCCTGCCTGGTCTCCCTGCAGGCCTGGACTCTTTCGAACACAAGCTCGATTTAGAGTGTAGACAGAGGTTGCCGTGTGGTATGGTCTTTCCAAGATCCTGACAGAGCGGAGAAAATCTCCGCCAACTCTGGGAAGCTCCCAGCACCCTTCAGGCTTTCGTGCCGGCTCCCCGCGCCGAGTCCCCATCTCTCCGTGGCCTGGCAGCGGCCGCCGGCATCGCCGCCACGCCGGGCGTGGCCTCCGCGGCTGACGAGTACTTGAACTACAACATGACAGGCGGGCACAACCAAAGCTTCTAGAGATTGGAGGTTTCATTATCCCTCCTATCAGTCGGACCGATCATGGTCGACTCGTGCGAGGTGAATTCACACCTTTCATGGTTATTGGGTATTTTGGCCTCACAACCTTCCTCACCGCCTTTGCATTTGGCTCCTACCTCGTCTTGACCAAGCTGAAGATCATCTAAGAGCACCTCGAGGCTGCATCAGGAATCCAAACTATGTAAGACGTCGTATACATCCTGTGTTTGGAATCCCAGAGAAATTTTGCAGTGGACAGGTACTGACGCGAGCTCCTTGGCCAAAGATGATTTTCCAAGGCATGCTGTCAAAAAGGCACATCGTTGCTTACTTGTCAATTGGACTGAGATACCTGAATGAAGGTTATTTCAGAAATCGAAGCTGCAAGATAAACGAGATAAGACGATATATATATATATGTATATATATATATATGTATATACACACATACATACACACATACACACATACATACATACATGCATGCATACATACATACATACACATACATACGCGTGCACTCGAGAGAACTGAATTTCAAGTATAAATACCATAAACGGTATAGGAATACACGGTAATGGTTGACTTACCAATCGATAAGTGTTTCTATAGTACAGAACAAGATACGGGCAAGTGGACTCTATAAACCGCTACGGCCCAACTGCCCCAGTGCGGTGCCACGGTCCGGTAATGCCGTATCTCCAAAATTTCGCGGAATAGTTAGAAGCTGCCGGCTCGACAATCAGAGCCATGTTGGTGATTATTGTTATGACACTGCATGGACGTGGAGCGTGCATCTGGGAGGCTCCAAGGCAGATGGCGCAACCGTTCGGCTGTATATTAACTTCGTAGTGCAAGTTGGCAAGCAACGTAGGTTAGTCAACCATTCTCGACATTGTGTTCTCGTGTGGCTGCCAGAGTTTCTTAGCCATTGACGTTCTCAAGGACTTGCAAATGTTTCCGGGATGATCTTACAGAAACAGCGATCGAAGTCAGAACTTGCGGTTTCGCCTTTGTGCCGCATGCATCGGGGATATCGTTGTTGTTGCGCAATGGGGCAGGTTCTGGGACCCGGCTGTTCCGGGTGCTCCTCAGGGTGTTCCGTGTTTGGGTTTCGGTTCAAGTTCCAGGTTCCGCGTTCCGCGTTCCGGTTCCGGTTTCTTTGGCTGTTCCAGGTTTGTGTTTTGCGCATGCTTGGGTGTTCCGGATGTTGCGGGTTGTGGGTGTTGCGTGTGTTTTGGGTGTTTGTGTGTTTTGGGTGTTCGGGGTCTTCCGGGTTCAGGGTGTCCTGGGCTCTCTAGTCATTTCGATAGAGGTTTATTTTTAGGGACTGATATCTAAGGTTTTATAAGGATTGTAAACAGATTTGAGGTTTGAATTTTAGAATTTCAAGATTTACGAGGCTTCGATTTTCAAATTTTGGAATTTTAAATATAAGAGATCTTGGAAAATCTAGATTCTATATTCTGGATCTTTCTAGATATAAGAGATTATATGATACCTCTATAATACGATCTTTAATATATTTTTATATTTTTTTATCGGAAGATTTTTTACCTGAATTTTTCTAAGATTAAATTTTCTTAGCAAAATTTGTATTTGAGATTTCTTTAATTTTGGTTCTGCTATATCTTCAGTAAATTATAGAAATTATGATATTATATAGATACCGATTTAAGATTTAATATAAAGATTATGATATATATATATGGTACCCCCCCCTATTGACCTATTCTTTTGTCTCTTTTAAGATACAAGGTGGATCGGGGCGCGGGGTAGTGTAATGGAGGGGCGTCCCGAAAATGCTTAAGATTGAGGCCTCTTAGTATTTTGGAGCTCCCAGAGTCCCAGAGTGCTGAGAGGCCTCAATCTTTTTGGTGATTTTGAAGAAAAAACACTGGGAGGTCCCAAAAGATTCAAAAGATTCAATTTTTTCGAGGTCTTGGGGGACTGTATCCTAAAGCAGAAAGATTGAGGCCTCTTAGTACGTTGGAACTATGGGAGCTGCAAAACACTGAGAGGCTTTAATCTTTTGGAATCCTGAACCTCAACAAGATTGAGGCTTCTTAGTGTTTTGGAACTCTCGGAGTCCCAGA